CACACACACCACACACACACACACACACCACACACACACACACACCACACACATACTCTCACACACACACACACCACACACACACTCTCACACACACTACACACACACACACCACATACACACACACACACACCACACACACACACACCACACACACACACACACACACACACACACACACTCACACACACCCCATTTTAAATGGTGCTATACATGAGGTTCTTAGAGCACCAGCCGCTGCACTGAAAGGTCCCAGGTTTGATCCCAGTCAGGGGCAGGTACTTAGGTTCATGCTCAATTCTGGCCCTGGTGGAGGGGTGTGCAGGAGACAATCAAACATCTCCTTCACTTGGATGTTTCTCTCGTCTGTCCCGGTCCCCTGCACTCTCTCTGAAGAGCAATGGAGAATATCCTCCAGTGAGGATCAGACAGAGGACAGGGTGACCTTCAGGGTCAGTATTGCCTGGGAGGAGCCACCAGGGGAACGAGGGGGCAGTTCTGAAAAAGCTTTGCACTTTGATCCGGACGGGGGTTAAACAGAGGTACACATGTCCAGAAATTAATCGAGCGACATGCTTACAGTGTGTGCATGTCCCTGTGTGAAAGTTGAACCTTAAACTAAAAACACCTTCCCCAACGTCATCCTCCCTCCAGCCACCTCCATCTCTAACCCCTACTTCCTGCCACAGCTGTCAGAGTTAACTGCACTGCTGTGTCCCTGTGTCCGCGCATGCCCCCCCCCCCCCCCCCCGGCCTCCCAATGATCTCAGTGTCACAAAATCTGGAGACTTCATCTTCATCTTACTTGATCTCTCTCAAAATCACTAAACACTATTGATCACATCTTCCACTTGAAAGCCTTCTAGATCTGTGCTGTCCACATGGTAGCCAGAAGGAATGTGTGGCTTGAACACCTGAAATACGGCAAGAATGACCGAGGCACTGAGTCTTACTCAGTAGTGGTTTTTTTCTTAATATAATTCATTCATTTTTTAGAGAGGAAGGGAGAGGGATAGAGAGGTAGAAACATCGATGAGAGAGAAACATGGATCAGCTGCCTCCTGCACACCCCCTACTGGGGATGTGCCCGCAACCAAGGTCCATGCCCTTGACCACAACCGAACCGGGACCCTTCAGTCCGCAGGCTGAGGCTCTGTCCACTGAGCCACACCAGCCAGGGCTACTCAGTAGTTTTTAAAAGCTCCCGAGGTGGTTGCTGAGACCTACTGCTCTGTCACCGCCGCGGGTGCCTCCACCCAGACACCCGGCTTTAGTATCCAACGCATCCGCCCATTTATAGCGCCAGCCCGGCCATCTCTCAGCTCCGAGCCACGCAGCCGACGGCCTCCTTGGCATCTCCTCATAGGCACCCCGAAGTCAGGACGTCTGGAGCGGACTCAGGGCCCTCCTCCGGACCCATGCCCCTTCCCTTCTGTAGCCCAGGCCCAGCATTCCTCCCGCCCCCAGGCAGGACCTGGCTGCCACCCACGGAGGCCACCTCACCGCACTTGCCCGTTTCCTCATAAACGCCGCCTCCGTTGGCTTATTCTCTCCCTCTCACCAACATGGCAGTCCAACCTCCCGTCTACCTTTGGCTTGACAACTGCAGTGGCCTCCTAGCTGGTCCCTCTGCCCTGCTCTTGCCCCTCACAACCGTGAAAAGACAACGAGGCTGTCCCTCTCCCCCTGAAGACCCTCTCGGGGTCTCCCTCCGACAGGCCTCTCCTGCCCCGTCCCCCACGGCCCGCCCGCCTGGGAGAGGCCCTCGTGCTCTTGCCGACGTCAGGCTTCTGTACGTGCGGTTCCCGCTGGGTGGCCCCTCTTCCCTTCTCCTGCCTGGTACCTCCGGGCTCAGCCCACATCACTTCCCAGGAGGCTTTCCTGCCCGGGCCAGGCCCCGTCATGTGACATCTCAGCACCAGGCAGCGGCGACCTGTAGCACTTGTAACATTTTCCCATCACATTTGTGAGATTGGCTGATCACTTCTCACTCACATTTGGCCTTGCCTGCTAGCCTGCACTGTGTTTGTTTCTTGGCTGCTGTATTCTTGCATCTGTGCTCAATAAGTATTTATTGACTGTCTGATTGAATGAAATGTTCAATTTAACCTCCGGGACTAGCTTCAGAGCTGAAACCAAGGCCAGGACCAAGGTCAGGGCTAGGACCACAGACGGTACCTGGGACTGGAAATTGGTTAGAAACAGCACCTGGGCAGAAAGCGGGCCAGGTGTGGAGCCCGGGAGGGCCGGATGGCACAGTGTGGCAGGACCTGCCGCCGCTGTGTGCCACCGCTGTGTGCCACCATATGCCACCGCTGTGTGCCACGGCTGTGTGCCACTGCTGTGTGCCACCATATGCCACCGCTGTGTGCCACTGGTGTGTGCCGCCAGTATGTGTCACCGCTGTGTGCCACCAGTGTGTGCCACTGCTGTGTGCCACCGCTGTGTGCCACCGCTGTGTGCCACCGCTGTGTGCCGCCAGTGTGTGCCACCGCTGTGTGCCGCCAGTGTGTGCCACCGCTGTGTGCCGCCAGTGTGTGCAACCGCTGTGTGCCGCCAGTGTGTGCCACCGCTGTGTGCCGCCAGTGTGTGCCACCGCTGTGTGCCGCCAGTGTGTGCCACTGCTGTGTGCCGCCGCTGTGTGCCGCCGCTGTGCCTCCGCTGGGTGCCTCCGCTGTGTGCCTCCGCCGGGTGCCTCCGCTGTGCCGCCTAGGAGCGAACCGCCGAGCAGTGCAGCTCTAACGGCTGCAGACCCGGAGCCCGGCGTGTCACGCCAGCAGGCTGGATTAAGCCAAGCGGCTTCTCACACGGAATGAAGTAAAGCACTGGAAGCAGAAGCAGTGACATGGATGCCTCCCTGCATGGGGCTGACACACGCAGCCAACACGGCAGGGGACATGCCGAAACGCGTCTGTGTGAAGTGAGGCGCGGCAGGCTACGCTGCAGAGTTCCCAGTCAGAGGGTGCTCTCTGGGGCGTGGTGGGAATCCGGGGTGCGAACCCTGCCCGTTTCTGGACCCAGGGCCGCTGTCTGTGGAATTCGGCGGCCAGGACTGGGGAGCACAGGGAGGGAGATGTAGAGGCGAGCCGGTGGGTGGGCGCCTGCGCTGAGGGGGAGCCCAGTGAACACGGGGTGCAGGGCAGGGGGCCACGTTCTGCTGGGGACAAGGGTCAGGGGGGCGGGGGCTGTGGCCCCTGCAGAGCAGAGGGGGGGCCGGAGAAGGGCCGGGAGGGGAAAGCTGCCCCCGAGGAGAAGGGGCAGTGACTGTGCCGGCCCCCCCACCCCCCATTCCCTGGCTTCCCGCCTTCCACTTCTCCTCTGGGCCTGAGGAAACGGGTGTTCAGCCTCGCACACAGCCACCAGCCTGCTGACAATAGGGGAGCTGGCCCGCAGGCCCTACCGCCGGCCTCTCAGCTCAGGGTGTAAAAGGGGGTACTTACCCTCAAACCCTGTATCTAAGGCTGTGCAAGTCCCAGGGTGCATGCACATAAACACAGGTACACACGCGCTGGTGTGTGTTCACCCACAGTACCGTTAAAGCTGCTTGTACACACGCACACATCCATCCAGCAAGCCCGCATCTTTGCGCGCGCGCGCGCGCGCGCACACACACACACACACACACACACACACACACACCCCTCGCGCTCCCACGCTGGCATCAGAGCGGCCCCAGTGCTTCTCCTGGGCTCTGCGGGCAGCGCTGCCTAAGGGCTTCACGGGAGGGAGGGCCCAAATGGGGGCTTCGCCCGGGAGCAGGCTCCCAGGGCCGCCCCCCTGAGGCCTTCGGGACTTGGACCCACAGGTCCCCCTCCGAGGTGGGGAGGGGAGTCTGCAGCGGGAAGAGGCTGGGGCGCCCAGCCTCCCCTCCTGTCCCACCACCCAGTCTGCGCCGGTTCTCCGCGGAGGGGAGCGAGCCACATGGGTGCCCCCTGGAGCCCCCTGCGCCGGGCGCTGAGTGGGGAGGGGGCCGGCTTCCCCTCCTGGCACCCTCCCCTGGCGGAGGGCTGGCGGGTGGGGCCTCCCCGCGCGGTGACTCAGCGCGCTGGGTATTCTGTCCGCTGTGGCCAACTCTGACACTTTGCTCATCGCTCCTCGGGGACGTGGTCCCAGGAGGTGGGGAGGCGATGCTCCGGGAGCTGCCCGCCTCCCTCCGCCACTGGTGCCCGGGGGCGGGGAAGGTGAGGGGCCGGGTACTGGGTCGGGCCGATGGCAGAGGAGCCAGGAGGATGCGTTGGGGGCCAGCTGTCCCACATGACGGGCAGCGGGAAGGAAACACTGAGACAGGATTTCCTAACCCCGGTGGGAGAGGGGGTCAGTGAGAGACTGGAAGGCAGGTGTCATCCCGCACCGAGTGACCAGGGCTCAAGGGCAAGAAAGCTGGAGGAGCTGAGGTGCCGGATCCCCGGAATCTGGAGGCTGAACTGGGCAAAGGGGGCGGCAGCTGCAGGGTTTCCCACTTGCTTCCCAGTAGTTCCTCTCCGTTCACTTCCAGTTGTTTCCGAGCCATGAAATTCTTTCCAGGCAAGATAAGGGGCCCGCCCGCCCCGCCCGCGTCACGTGTGAGGGTGTTCAGACGGACACGGCGGGGAGCCCGGGTGGAGCCCCCGGAGGATCTGTCACCCCAGCCCCGACGTGAGTCACGGTCAGAGCTCGCGGCCAAGAACAAGGTGTAGGGTCCGCGCTGCGGCCGGGCCCTGGCTGCTCCCAGCTCCCCACGGCCCCCACCGGCCGCCCTGCCGTCCCCTGGCAGTGCCACCCGATGCCCGAGCAGCTGCTCCGGCCGGAGCACGTGGGCGCCACCAGCCGCTTCCCCGGAGCCCGGCCCGGAGCGTCGCCTCGGCGGTGCCACCTGGTGCCCCGGCCCGGCCACCCGCCCTGCCCACCGCGCGGCCGCGGAGCCAGGCCGGCGCACGGTCCTCCGTGGCCAGCGGCGCCCGGAGCCGGCAGCTTTGGGGAGTCCGGGGAGGGGATTCCCGGGGGCGGCCGCGCTGCCTTACCCGGCGGGGCGCGGGCGCTCCGCACCTGTGCGGCCTCTCCGGCGCTCGGCGCGGGCAGGGGGCTCCGTGCGCCCTCGGCAGCGGCGCCCTCGGCAGCGGCGCCCTCGGCAGCGGCGCCCTCGGCAGCGGCGCCCTCGGCAGCGGCGCCCTCGGCAGCGGCGCGGAGCTGTCCCGGCGCCCGCTCGGTGCGGCGGAGGGAGCTGCGGGGCAGGGAGGAGCGGGAGGATCGGGGAGGGCTGGCAGGGAGCGGAGATAGGGCAGGCCCGCCGCCCCTCCCACCCCGCCGGCCCTTCGTCACCGCATGCCCCTCCCCCCTGACCCCTCTCGGGCTGGGCGGACTGAGTCCACAATAACCTCATCTTGCCCTCCACCCCGTCCCACCTCCCGTGTCCTTTCCCCGTCCCGCCCCAGCCTCTCCCCAGCCCGGCGCCTTCCCGCGGGTGCCATTCGCCCCCCACGACTTCTCCACCTGTTGCTCCTGCTCTCCCCGCTACCAACACCCTCCCCACCGCCACCCTCCTCTGCGCCTCCCTCCCCAGCTGCCGCTGCTCCGCCCGAGGGGCCAGCTCCCAGGACCCCACAGTCCTCGCTGGGGTGGGGCAGGAAACCCCCTTCTAAGCCCAGATCCTTCCCAGCGTGAGGCCTCCTCGGGACTCCTTGTCCCCCCTGCCCTCGGCTCAGAGCACTGCTCTTCCAGCTCCAATCGCTGCCCCTTCCACGCTCCCACCCCAGCAAATTCCTCCAGAAACGGCAGCCGAGTCTTGGGCGCTGGCTGAACACCAGGACATAAAAGCTTTGGGAAGCAGTTGGGGTGTGGGGAGACGGAGGGCAGCCTGAAGTTAGGGGGACGTTAAGCTGCAGAGCCAGAGACGGGTCTGGGGGAAGCTGCAGGGGCAGTGCAGGGTGGGAGCGGGGCTGGAGGTGGAGCCGGTAAGACCAGCCCTGGAGGGTGGGCATCACACACCTCCGAGGCCGCTGGCTGCTCCTCTGGCCTCGGTTCCCATGTGCGGCTGCCTGGCCAGGGGCTGAGCGAAGCCCCTCCCGTTTCTCACCGAGGTCAGTTCTCGTTGCCCCCGCTGCCCCTCACCCCGCTGGCCGGCTGGCTGCCTGCGGAGGGGCAGGAGCCGGTCTGGCCCGTGGCCGCTCGGGCTGAGCGTGGGGGTCCTGGGTCAGGGCACGCTGGGCAGCAGGAAGCTGGGCCAGGTGCCCAGGGCTCCCTGGGGCCAGGACAGGCCCCATGGGCGCTGGCATGGGTGTCCCCGTGTCTGGGTGTGTCTTCCTGGCTTTGATGGGGAAGATGAAGTCAGAATCTGGGATGAAGCCGCTGCAGCTTCCTTCCACTGCCTTGGCCCGAAGCCCCCACAGCTCCCAGCTCTCCGGGTGGGGGTCTGACACCCCAGGTTTCAGCACTGGCGTCCCATGGTCATATCCGTTTGGGGGTCCCCTGCCTTAGGATTTCACATGCAGGCAGCATGGCCACCACACGTAGAGCTGGCCTGGGAGGAGGGAGCTGGAGCGCAGCGGTGGCTGAAGTTCAGGCCAGGGCTCTGCACACCTCGGCCGAGTAGGCCGACGCAGACCGGAGACCGGCGACCTCTCCAGGTTGGGACAGTCGCTGTCTGAGGCTCGCTCGATGCCCAGGGTTGAAGCCCACAGGAGCCTTATGACAGCCCGTGCCAGGCTGCTGGCATCTCATCAGAGATGCACCAGGCCTCGCCAGAGCAGGTGCCTGACAGTGCTTATCAGCGGGACTGTGAAGAGACCCGGGGGGAGGGGTGTGGTGGGGAGCCGGGCGCCTTCACCCCGGAGCCGGGTGGCAGGCGGAAAGGGTGCTGTGGGAGCTGCCCGCACCTCTGCTGTGCTCTGAACCCTCCGTGTCTCCAGCTCCGGCCCCCACCCTCGAATGAACCTCCCAGACCTTGTCCTGGCCTCGAGGACAAGGGATAAGACAGAAAGGGAGGCCAGGGAAGAAGAAAGGCAGGGAGGCCAGGAAGAGTCGGGGCAATTAAGGGCAAGGACCTGAAGGGGAAGAGGGAGCAGGGCTGTGGTCCAAGCAGGTCCCGAGAGGAAGAGGCGCTTGGACCGAACTTCCCAGCACAAAACACTTTCCCACAGCGCCGCTGTGAATGGAGGCTGGGGCCGGCAGTGACCTGGCCAAGGGTCTGCCCGGTGGGAGTGAGGTGGCCTCAGTGCAGGCTCTCTGGTCCCAAACGTGGCCTCCCTCCCCAGAGAGGAGCTCTGGGAAGATGAAGACAGGCAGACACAGGGTAGGCCCAGGACGGTCTGAGGAGGAGGAGGAGGATCTGGGTTTCTGAACCTTCTTTCTGCATCAGTGTGTCCTAGACTCAGAAGAAATTGCCAAGTTAAGAAGGGGTCAACATTTCACCAGTGAGAATGGGGCTGGGAGGTGGAGAGGAAGGGGAACATGGAGAGAAGAGATGAAGAACGAGTCTGAGATGAAGATGGAGAGGACTAAGGGGGAGGGGCCCACAGGAAGAGAGTTTGGACCCTCAGACTTCCTTTGCCTGGAGACATGGGTGTGGGGAGAAGGGAGGAGGGAGGACATTTCTATCTCATGACAAAAGAAAGTCACACAGTTGTTTTGTTCTCTGCTCTGGGGCGGGTGGGCGCCTGTATTTACCAGAGGGACTAAGGTCGCTGTGGCAACCACACATCTGGGCCCCGGGATCCAGATGTGCTGTATCCAGGGCCATAGCAGAACGATGAGGCAAACATTAGGCTCTCCAGTCCTGGCCCCACAGCTGGGGAGAACACAGCGGCTGGAGAGGGACGTGAAGGGGAGGGCTGAGCGGGAGAAGCGGAAGGCGCGGAGAGTGACAGGAATGTGGACAGGCAGCGGAAAGGGGCGATGGGGACAGGCAGGGTGGCGTGAAAAGGCGGAGGCAGCACAGGTTCAGCAGCAGGAGTGAGAAGAGGAAGAACAAGAAGGAAAGAATGAAGCAGAAGGGGAGGAAGGGGAAAGCACCAAAGAAGCCAAAAACAGAAAGATGAACAAAGAATAATGGTCCAAAGGTGATGGCTCCTGGCAGGCGGAGGGCAAAGGAAGGCAGGCAGGAAGGCTAGAGAGGAGAGACGCTGGGCCTGCAGTGGTAAGAACCGGGCAGGATCTCAAGGAAGGAAAGCAAAGTGGCAGGGGACAGGGCCCCACGGGGCGCGCAGTGGCGGGCCAGGGGCCTCGGTGGGGGCTGTGGCTGCAGATCCACTTGGACCTGAGGGCAGCAGCCCAGACTGCCGCCTCAGCCCCCCCCGGCAGGCCCTCTGCACCCTCCAGCCCTTCCTACCACCACCCTCCCAGCCCGGGTGCCACTGGCCCCTGCCACTCGGCCAGGAGCTGAGCCCGTCAGAAGAGGAGCAGCGCAGGACAATGCAGACCGACCAGGAGCGGGGAGAAGGGACAGGTGTCTGCTATGGACCAGGCCCGCGCACGGCATCTCTCCCTCACACCGCCCCTGAGGAGTAGGCACAGGCACCCTCCTCAACAGATGAGGAGACCAAGGCTTCGCGTCCACAGCAAGGGCATCTCCGAGCAAAGCCAGCTCAGGTGGCCTCGTGCTGGCGCCCGGATGAGGCTGCACGGCTGAGGGGCCCGGGACAGGAAGTGCTGGCTGAGGAGCAGGGCTGCCCTCGAGGGGGAGAGCTGAGCTCCAGGTTGCCACAGTTACACTGTTTTCTCCCCAAACACAGTCATGGGGGGGCTGCTGGCTGGACACGTGAGGCTCTTCCTCCCCCTTCAGGCCTGGGCTGTGGCCCAGGCGGCCCCTGTCCAGTCCTCTGGGCGAGGAGCCCAGGCCCCGCCCACACCCTCCTGCTGACCCAGGGCGCTCCTGCAGGCGGCAGAGGCGTGGAAGGAGCCTGCCGGGCATCCTCACAGGTTGGGTGAGACTCCCCTCACCCTGTCCTGCTCCCCTTCCTCCTAATAGAAAGCAGAGCCCCACCAGGCCCTTTCCTTTCAACCGGGCCCTCACGCCTCAGCTCTCCACCCCCCTCCTCCTCCCGCCCAGCCCTTCCCCCCCCCCCCCCCCAGGCCCTCCTTTCTGGGCACAGCCCTGGGCTCCAGCTCAGTTGTTTGTCCTGGAAAGTGAGGGGAGGGAGGGGAACCTGCCAGAATGTAGGGGACCCAGGGAGGCGCTCACCCCAAAGGGCGTGGGGTCCTGTCCTTCCTGTTTACTCAGACACATTCCGGGACCTGTGTCCTCTGGGCTGTGACCCCACAGGGCATCCCTCTCCCCCTCACCGCCCACACCCGCAGGTCAAGGGGGTGACATGAGCCCTGTGACCCGCCCGGCCGCCCCAGAGCCAGCTGTCGCCCGGAGAAGCCTTTCCCCCAAACGCTTGTCACGAGCCAGGAAGGCAGCCACAACTCCTTTAACTCCCTCCAAGTTGTTTATTTAATAATAATAATAATAATTAAAAAAAGATGCACACACACACATAAATCTGATCTTCCTCACCACCCTTCCTTTACACCCAAACAAGCTCCTCATGTAAATGGCCTCTGTCCCGCCCTCGAACTACAGTCCCCCCTCAACCCCCAAAGGAGTGAAAGAGCCAAGAGCCCACCCACCACGCTCACCTCACCCAGCCTCAGAGGGAGCGGGGCTGCGGGCGTAGGCAGGGAGCCTATATTCCCAAAAGGGGTGAGTGAGCTCTCCCCCAAATAAGTGCTTAACCCCACACCCTGTCCTTCTGTCACCAAGTGCCCAAGCCCGGGATCAGGAAAATAAACGGTCCCACTTGGTGACTCCTCCCGCCCCCAGTGCCAAGTCGGTGAGAGGCAGAGTCAGGGGTGATTGAGGTAGAGGGGCCGACGGGTGGCCGGGCCGGCCTGGCCGGCGGAGGCTGGCAGCGGGCCCCCCGTGGCGTTGCCCGGGGTGGAAGGCTGTTTTCGGAGCGAGGGGGGCACCGTGGAGGTCTTGATGTGAATCACCCTGGTGTCCATGACCTCACACTCGATCTGCATCATCTCCTCATAGTCCCCAGGGGCGCCCCGCCCCGACAGGGTCTCTGTGGGAAGGGCGTGCGGAAGAGAAGGGGGGCAAACAGAGGGTGGGAAGAGAGCAGTGGACAGGGAGGAGAGGGCAGGTGGCCAGGCGGGTCCAGCATGATGAGTCAGTGGGGTGAGGGGGGAAACGGGGGGGGGGGGAGGCCGTTGTGAGTGTGAGGTCAGAGGGAAGGCACGGAG